GAAGAAGAAGAAGAAGAAGAAGAAGAAGAAGAAGAAGAAGAAGAAGAGAAAAGAAAGGCTGAACTCACACTACACCCTCAAGGGGCTCATCCCCAACCCCTTGTGACGTAAAGAGTTTCCTATCCCTATTGGATCTTGGGAGGACACTTAAGACCCAAACTTAAGTGTCAGTTACAATTTGGAAAGGGAGAGAATGAGAAACAAAAACCCATAGCAATGAGGATGTAGAACCATGCAGGGCTGGGGGAGTGCATTCCTGAGAACCCTCGCTCCTCTGTGGGGAGATCCCATGCTCCCCGGCCTCATCCCCACCTTTGGAAGATCCGTGGGCACTGTGGGTGTACACTTCTTTCCACAGCCAGCTGATAATATGTGGGGCCCGAGAACTAGCTTGGTTTTGGTTTGAATGATCAAAGACTTTTCAAGCCGAGCTTATAGGGCTCCCCCCTCAAAAATAAAAATAAAAATAAAAAACTTCATAGATATCGCATTCCTTTTCTCATGGGAAACTGCCAATGGCTCCTTCTGCTGTAGCTTTTGCATCTCCCTGTCTTCTCCTAACAGTGGGACTTGGAGGCATCTGGAGCATCACACTGGGGTGAGGAGTCACAGCAAATTAATCTCCAGCCAGTGTGAGTCCCTTTGTTTAACTGATGTGTCAAAACTAGCCTTTTGCCGTGGCTTCCTTGGGTTTGGCTCCAGTTCGGGAACAGTCAAGGAGTACTTCAGTGCTCTGGCCCTGCTCAGGTGTCACGTGGTACTGGCGTAGTACCAGTAACTGTGCAAAGCCCTGCCAGTAAAAACTGGCGTGAGAGGACAGAGTGTAATTGCAATTAAGGAAGTAAAAAGCCTGCCTTCGCTGTGAAAACAGAATGCTTACTAGTCACTCTCTCCCTTTTTTTGTTGTGATGAAATATGTATGCCAAAAAGTTTATCACTGCGACCATTTAAAAGATTTAAAAATTGTATTTGTGTGTGCGTGTGTAGAAGAGGGGGTCGGAACCCTTGCAACCAGAGTTACAGGTCCCTGTGAGCCACCTAGAGTGACTTCTGAGAACCAAATTCAGGTCCCTGGGATTGCAGCAAGCAGTCTTCACCACCGAGCTATCTCTCCAGGAACCATTTTAACCATTTTAAAAACACAACCTGGTGGCATTAAGTACCGACAGCACTGAGTAACTCCCCACTATTTCCAAAACTATTTTATCATTCCGCTCAGAAACTCACTAACTTCCTATTCCCCCATATCCTTAACAGGCCCCATCCTGATTCAATGAATTCACCTGTTTATATTTACACAGGGGGAATCATCCTATCCCTTTATAGAAGGCTTATTTTACATAGCATAACGTTGTCGAGGTCAATCTGTGTTATAGTGTGTATCAAAACTTCATTCTTTTCCATGGTGACGTAGCATTTCCTGGTTTGTACACATATCTTTTTCTTCATTCATCAATGGATTGGTAGTTGGGGTGTGTCCACCTTTTGGCATTTGTGAACAGCATCCCTGTGACTGACCATTGGCAGTCGTTTGAGTCCCTATTTCAGTTCTTTAAGAGAGTGAACTTAGGTGTGCAGTTGCTGGGTTGTGTGACAGATATCCTTTAACTTTACAATGGACCACCAAGCTGGGTTGCACAGTAACTGAATTATTTACATCCCTACCAGCGGTACGTGAGGGATCCAAACTCTCTCCTCTGCCAATACTTCATCATGGCCAACAACACTTGTTATTTCCTGTCCTCTTCCTCGGTCCCTTTTTAAGTATCTATCTATCTAAGGGGCAGTTGTGGCACAGTTGTGAGTAGCATCTCCACTAACACTAACAACATCTGCTCACATCGTTTTGGTCTGCTCTTAAACCTTCTCGAGAAAAATGTCTGTTCTAATCTTTAGCCCAGTATATGAGGTTGTTTGCCTTTCTGTGGTTGTTGTTGTTGAGTTGTAAGAATTCTTCTTATCAATAGACGCGAACTAAGCCCTTCCTTACTAGATGCAAGCTCTGAAAGTACGTTCTTCCATCAATGCTCTCTTCATAACGCCTTTCGGCCCACCAAGTCTGTTGTCGTTTGTTGCTGTGTGATCTGAGAGGAGGCTCTTGCTATGTTACCCAGCTTGACCTTGAACTCCTAGGTTCAAATGATCTTTCTGCCTCGGCCTCCTGAGCCTCTAGGACTACGGGAAGAGGCCACCCTCCATGGCTCTTAAATGTTGATGGAATCTGACTGTCCCAGGGCTTGGTGTGTAGCTCAGTGGCAGAGCACCTGCCTGGCATAAAGACCAGCTTGCTCCTCAACACCACAAAATAGTTAAAAAGAGGCCACTGTTGAATCCAAAGAGATTTATCCTGTGTCTTCCAAGGATGTTCCGATTTCACCATCCAATCTATTTCACGTGGAATTAATTTTTGGTTGGCATATAAAGTAATGGCTTTCATTGTAATATCTTCACACATATCTAACACTACATCCCATTCCTCTCACCCTTTGATCCACTTCCAGGTCATTTTTGTTATGGTATTGGGAAAGAATTCACTTCATTGTTATGTATGTGGATAGCAAATTTACCCAACATCATTTGCTGAATCTCTGTTGAACTGTCTTAGCACCTTCGTCAAAAAAAAAAAAAAAAAGACAAGTGGTCTTGAGAGGGAGGCATGCTATTCCGTTTCACCGAGCTATATGTCTGTCATTAAGCCAACATCTATCATGGTGCTCTTTTGACTACTACGTACACCACTTTGTAGTAGCTTTGAAACTGAGCTTATTTGGTGTTTCTTCTTTCTTCTTCTTTTTTTTTTTTCAAAATTGTTTTGAATATTCAGGGTTCTTTGAGATTCTATGTTGACATCAAAATAGGTTTTTACTTCTGTAAAAATCGTAATTTGGGTAGAGACCGCCTAGAATCTGTGGATCACTTGAGGTTATTTTCCCAGCTCTGTTGCCTTCCCATGCGTAAACACTGGTGCCTTTCGTTTGCTGAGGTAACCCCCTCATTGCTTCCAGCGATGTTTTGCTGTTGTCACATGAGTTCACCCCCTTGATTTTCTTCTCAAGTACCTTCTTCCTTGGTACTGTTGTAAACGTAAACGGAGTCACTTTTACACTTTTTAAATTACTTGTTACTGGTGTATAAAATACAACCGACTTTTTTGTGTGTGTGACAATTTTTATATCCTGGAACTGGTGAATTGGTGCATTAACTCAAACATTTTTATGGATTACCCATGACCTTCTACAGATACGATGATGTCATCTGCACTGGAGATAGTCTGAGGACCATTTGGATACTGAAGACAATTTTTTTTAAATTAAGGCGCTTGTAAACAGCAGATTTTTTTTTTCACAGTTCTGGAGTCTAGGAAGTTTAAGATCAAGCTGTTGCATGGTCAGGGCTCATTCCTCATGTCTCGTTTCCAACGTCATCACAGGGTGTAAGGGGCAAGAAGCTCTCTGGGGTCTCTTACATAACTGAATTTTTTTGGTGGTTCTGCCCTTGTGACCTATTTACCTTTTAGAGGCCTCACCCTAAGATTGTCCCACTGGTAATTAGGATTTTGCATATGGGATTTGAGAGTAATCCCATCCACACTCTAGCCCTTTGCAGTTTGGGTATCTTTTTCTTTGTTTTCCTTCCCTAGCTGTTCTGGCTAGCCGTTTCCGTACTGCATTGCTTAGCAGTGAGATTCTCTGTCATGTTCCTGACTTAGCTGAGTATGATGTCAGCTGTGCATTTTCACCTGTGCCACACACAGTGACGTATTCACAGGTCCCATAGGCAGGGACTTTATAGGAACCACAACTTCATCTTCTTATGCTGTCCTGCCCCACCCTGGGTCCCCTCTCAACTGCAGGCAGTTTCCCAGCTATCTCCATAGATTCCCTGTAATATTTCTTGTGAGGCCGACTTACTGAGGATGAATTCTGTCTGGTTTTGCTCATCTGAAATATCTTAGCATCCCCTTTCTGCTGGAAACTGGCTTTGAAGGCCATGGAACGCTTGGCTCCAGCTTTTTCCTCCATCCAGCTTGTGCCCCTGTTAATGAGAAACCACTTCTCAGTCCCCCTGCGGATTCCAGAGACAGAAATGGTGCCACAGCTCACTCTTCTCTTGCAGGTTTCAAGAGTCTCTTTGTCTTTTGACATTTGATATATTTATATTTTCCATTAGGCTTAGAAAACTGTTTCACCCTTATTTCTCCAACTATTCTCCTGCCTCTTGTCACCCCTCTTCTTCTAGAAGCTGTTATATCTTTGTCAGGTCTCCTGGGTCCCTCAGGTCTTGTTCATTTCCTCTCCCTTTTCTTTTCCTGTTCTATAGACTGAATACTTTCAATTGCCTTGTTTTCTTTTCTTTTTTTTTTTCAGATTTATTTATTTATTATTTATACAGTATTCTACCTGTATGTGTGTCTGCACACCAGAAGAGGACACCAAATCTCATTATAGATGGTTGTGAGCCACCTTGTGGTTGCTGGGAATTGAACTCAGGACCTTTGGAAGAGCAACTAATGCTCTTAACCCCTGAGTCATCGCTCCAGCCCCAAATTGCCTTATTTTCAACTTTGCTGATTCTTTCTTATGCCCACTAAAATCTTTGATTAAGGTCTGAGAAGACAGTTTAATGATTAAGAGCACTGGCTGCTCTTCTGGAGGACCTACATGGTGGCTCCCAAGGTTGTCTGGAAATCCAGTCCATGGGACCCAGCACCTTCTTTCTGGCCTCTAAGGGCACCAAGCATGCACACGATACACAGACATACATACCGTTAAAACCTCCCCACACATAAAGTAAAATTAAATAACTTCAACAGAGAAACCATGTCTCAAAAAAACAAAAATAAACAAATAACTTAAAAATCTGCCATCAAGCCCTTCAGTGACGTTTCTACATCAGTTTTTCTACTGAGTTTTTCTTCTGTGCATCTATAGTCATCTCTCTGTTGATATATACCTCTTTTGACTTCCCCTAATTCTCTATCCACTAAAC